GGACGGACCTTGAATTCGGTTATGACTGGCGAGAGGGATTCATCGTCGCCGAGGATCCCCCGAGGAAAAGACGGTGACAGGATTCCGAGTCGGATTAGCTCGCGGCGCGGCGTAGAAGTTAGGCGAAACTGCTAACGTCGTCGTCCGGCTTGGGATAATTACGTGAGGTGCATTAGCGTGGCCGCACGTAACGTAGCGTCACGTGCATATGTGTAATCACCGCGACGTACGTGTGAGACCGCGAAACGTCTGTCGTGAAAGGTGTATGTACGACTTCACCTATTCAACGATGTGCAGTCGTACAAATCCACGCGATATGTAACGTCCCGTTCTCGTAAAGGGCTTAAACGGTTATCGTTATTTTTGATAATGACGTCTCTCTGGCAATTCTCATCATATTCGACGACGCAAAATAAAGAGGCGACGAGAGAATTAATTGCGCGATTATAAATCTGCATTAATCGTTATATTGTAACTAAATTGATATAAAACTCTAATGAAAAGAAAAGGAAAACAATAGATATTGTATGGGAGCTACATTTTTTTGACGAAAACTAGCGTATTATTTCCTGGGTGCGAATGTAATTTCCGACTTCCGCGGAATGAGATATGCACGCGAATCGGCTCGCGAAAATGGCGTGGCGCGCGCGTTCAGAGCGCGCCGACTTCTATTCATCTGCGTGAACGAAATTCATTGCAATTGAAATCTGACTACGTCCTGGCGTGAATTTCATACGGATGTAAATTTATGTTAAAGCAATTTAGAAAATATATTCCTCGGTTTTCGCTGTTGCTTTCTAGCGGAACTGAAATAATATCCGAAGGCATAATTCAAAATTCTCAGAAAATTAGCAAATTTATTTCAAGTATAATTTTTGTGTCATCAATATTTAATATATATATATTTAAAACATTTGATATTAAAAATTAAATTATAGCATTGTATTGCAATGTGTATTTTCTGATCGTCTAGATTGTTGTTAAAAATAGATCATTACAAAGTTAAAAAAAAAGCTTTTAAAATAGAATCAAAATGTCAGAGCTACAAATTCAATAAATTACTTTTTTCTCAGATATCTCGTTTCTTTCTATTTAAAAAAAAAACTCGTAATCATATTAAAAATTATTTAACTTGTAAAACAAAATAATTCTAATGAAAAAAGGTTAAATGATATATCGATTAAATTTGTTCAAGTTCAAGATATACTAACATAAAAGCATATAACCGTATCTTTTCTTGGAGTGTCTGAAACAATGCTTATCTCGATAAGGAAGCGACGAAAAAATTGACCACGATTAAAGCAGGCGTGGCGCTAAAACGGGAAGCCTTTGTAATCCTTGTAAATAACGTGCTTTATATTAATTTATGGACGACCAACCGAGTAATGTCGAGCCGACGTCGTTACGATGATATACGCTTACGAGGGGTGTTATTTGGATTTCATTACGTGCCGCAACCGGCGCCACCCTGCCAGCACCCTTGTCGCGCAAATCACGTGTCTCGATATTCACAGGAATTTGGAACGAAATGCGCGAGATATAAAACGATGCGTTATTTTACCCCCTGCAAAAAAGTGCATATAAATTCATTGACATCGTCACGCGAATTGATTTCAGCGCGACCGGAAATCTATTAATCGATTGCATCGCGCAATTTCCGCCGCCGAACGTAAATCCGTACTATTTCGACATTATAAATATTTGATGACGGTATCCTATCACAATACGAAGGAAATACGGTTTGCGTCCAACCGATTCGACCGAAATTTCGTCGGCTAATTGCATAGATTTTCCTTTCTGTTTTATTTATCTTTCTCTCTCTCTCTCTCTCTCTCTCTCTCTCTCTCTCTCTCTCTCTTCTCCCGTTTCCGAAAAAACCGCACGAAATCGAGATAAAGAGGTGGAGAAGGGCACGCACTCGTTCGCGCTGTGAGAGGGCTAAGGGTCGATATTTTTTATTGTCGCTTAAATCCCCTTATCAACGGTCGACAGACAACGAGATAAAAAGGGTATAAAGACTCGGACTTAATGATACCTGTCTGACGGTAGATTACTTTTACTACTGCCGCTCGTTCTCACCACTACGATTGGGCGATCTTCTCGACTCCAGAGGTTCCTTCAGACCGTCTGGCGATTCTAAAAACCAGGTGCAGCCATAGTTCTTTCTTTCTTTCTCTCTCTATTTTTCTCATTCTTCTCTCGTTTTGCCGCTTACTCTCCCGCACTTGCACTTTTTTCCCTTCTTATTGTGTACTTCGTCTCTCTTTCTTCTCATTTCTCTCGTTTTTCCAACGTTTCTTTTCGAATCGCATCTTCCTCTCTTTCTCCCTCACAATCTCACTTACTCTCCGCGGACGCTATTGGGGTTTACGGTTACGGTTAAGTAGAAGGCAAAGAGATCGTATCGTTTTCCGAACGATTTGGCTAATCGAGTGCTGGTGGCTCGGGACATCCTCTTCCCTTTTATTCTCAATGTCGATCGCAACTATGCACATCCGGATTGATGTTTGGGAAAATTCTATAAACGAGTGTTAAAATCGCAATCTTGCTTAGAAATCTGATAGCCGATTATTTCCTTCGAAACGTCGACATTTATCGTGGCGTAATAACGAATTATGCAATTGGATCGATCGAAAAGATGCAAAGGAAATGCTATAATAATATTAGTAAAAGAGCGCGCGATTAAAGTAATCTTTGCAAATATTTGTTCACTCGTAATTGTACCCCCCGTAATTAGCCATATAAAATAATAATTTAATTTTGTCGGCAATATTATTTATTCATGTAAAAAAAATATATATATATATATATATATATATGTATACATTTTTACATATCAAAAATATTTTAAATGAATTTTTGCAATTTTTTATTTATTTAATTATTAAATCCTGGCATATTAAATTAGCCAGAATATTTTAAAAATTTGAAAAATCAATATTTATATTACAATATTTGAGCTTATAGTGCAATCTAAATATAAATCAACAAAAGATATGAATAAAAGATTCTCTTGTACTTTTGACGACAATTACTTTTATTTATCTTAAAAGTACTTCTTTAGAAATCTGAATCATAGACGTGAAGTTTCTTATTGTTCGTTCAAAATAAATATGTACAGGTATATAATAATAATTTCCGAACTTTTCCTGAAATCTGAATCTGAACAAATTTCAGTTGGATATAACTGTATTAAAAGATATTAAAATGTGTCTTTCCGTTATATCGTTTGGCTTTTTACATTTTGGGAAAATTATCCCTATCGCTTTACCGCAAATTGACGTATCAAATTTCCGCGCCGTATGCAAATATTCGACTCGGTCAGCGCACGATATTCAGTCTAAAAAAGAAAACCGTTAAATTGGAGGCCGCTTGATCGGAAGTTGAACCAGTTCGGACAGCGTGTACCCCAGCGACCTTCTTTTTCCACAGCTGTAATAATAAGTGGACAGAGTGTGGCAATTGCTTTCGATCGAGCGGCCAATCATCGGAAACCAATGTGGATGGTAGGCGAGAGAAGGACGAGTTATTTTATCGCGAAGTGGTATTTTAAAGAAGGCACAGAAAGAAGACGAACGATCCGGGAAATTTGCCAAATAATCTGTTAATTTCGAACCGTTCTGTGCGCAATTTTTTTCGAGAAAAATACATGCACATTTCCGAAGCGATATTAAAATATTAATTCACGTTGCATTCACGTTAATACGAAAAATGTAATATCGTCCGCGTTGAACTACATTCATCTTGCGCGAAAAAGATTATGGAATAATGCAATTCGAGTTCACCATATTGATGCGCGCGAGTAAAATCTACGCGATTTTAGCTCTCAACTGCTACGGTTTAATTCGGATAACGTGAATACCACGGTGGTTTTAATCTAATCCCGACTGATAATTTTCTCAAGTTTTCCTGAGAATTCCTCCTCCTTTATATATCTTCTAAATATATGTCTGAGCGTAGCACGTTTCTCTCGATTACTTTGCAAAAGCTACGATCATTTTAAAATGAAATACGGCTACTTTCACTCTTTCAGCTAGACATATACCTCTTAACGTAACCGGGGAGGCAAAGTTCGATCGCAATTATACGCGGTAAGACCGTTTCATAAACGCCAAATTGCACTTTCCGCTCGGGATAAGTCCCAGGTGGGAGACTATCTGAAGTTTACGAGATGAATGCAAACGCGCAATGTGTCTACTTTATGGTGTGTTTCTCCTTTCGTTCCCCAACCCTCTTTGCTCGATACATCCCGGAGGCGAAAGAGAAAGAATAAGAAAAAGTAAGAAAGCTACTAAGAGTTAAAATAAAATTCTGCCTACGCTGCTACTGTTTTGGATATATTCCGATGTAGATATTTCAAACAAACGAGTACAATGGATCATCTGCGTGTATTCAACCCGTACATAGCTCATCGTTGCATTTATAATTCAACCATCTGAAGTGGCAATAATGGCAGGCGCCGCCGATACTTAATACCGTCAGCCTGAAACTCGACATAGTAATGGAGTATATTATTTTATTTTACGATACGAGCGCGACGGGGCGAGCGCACTCGATCTCGAAGGCGGATATCGATATTAGCTTTCCGACGTGCGGTCCGACTTTAATAAATTCCGGCTTTGCAAGCAGGAAATATCTTAGACTATCTCGGTTTAATACACGTTACCTTTTCAATCTTAATTTTGACGATAGTTTCTGGAATAAATTTAATAGCAATCTTTAAGAATGTATATTAATAATTAATCAAGAGATTAAGTGCGAGAAATAGTAAAAATTAAATATATTTTAGAGATGGCAGAAGTAGAATTTATAGGGAGCGAGAAGTCTGAGTCAGCTGTCAATTTGATGGAAAATAGAATAGATATACAGAGAAGCGATAAATTGTAACGAGATTTGGCTCTATTTTTATCGAGGTGTTATAACCATGGTCTAGAAAGTTTTGACAGTTTGCCCTCTCTCTTTCTTTAACCCTTCTTGACAGTCATTTCCTTTTCTTTCAGGAAGGTATCGGTTCGCTAAAAGTGGTGCCTGGGGGAATCGAACTAAGAGGTCAAGCTGCCGTGTTGGACGCTCTTGTGGCTTCCAACCTGAGATCTCGGAGGGGTAAAAACTTAGTGTTGGAATCATGGAGTAATTTTACTGCCTCAGCAAGATCTCACGATGGTCGGCTTCTCGCGCGATTAACAGTTGGTAAGTTATAAAGATAGCTGCGTATAACAGCCTGCATTTTTCATATAAGACGTTAAGAAGTAATCCCAATTTTTCAAGTAGAAATAAATTATATAAATAACATATTAAATAAAAAAAGCTATATAAAAATATGTGTGTATTATACACACAAATTATATATTTTATGTAGATTGTATATATAAATGTTGTATAAATTATATGCAGTTAAATAGTATAAAATGTGCATCTATTTTTAAAATTATTTAAAATAAATTAATTAGAAATTTAATATGTATGCAATATAATAATATAAATAATTTGTCGTGTATATACATAGGTATAATTGCATTTAAAATTCAAAAAATAATCATAAAACACATTGCTCTTCTCTTTCTAGGAGAGGATCGTGTCGACTGCGTATCTAGAGGTTTTCGAATAACCGATCCTCGAGGAGGAGTACTCTTTTCCGCGGACAGGGAACAGATTATCGTGGGAGCGGAAATGTTGAGAGTGACCGGTGAAGGTGGTGCCGTTTTTCAGGGAAGCGTGCAGACTCCACTGGTCAGAGGAGATTCGAAGCGCGGTCTTAGGTAATTACATTAGAAATACAATTTATTAATCGCGCAATCGGACAAATTTTCAGATAATTTAAAGTGTAAGACAGGCAATAAGAGCCAAAATCGCGGATGACAGTGCGTTATCCCAACGAAACTAAATTTTTTCGTTAAAATTAAATACTACCTGTTTACAAGGCACCAAATTTTACTTGGTCACGACCAAGATTTAAAATTGGAATAATCTCTACAAGAGATTTAATTCCATACATCCCCTGTTCCAACCTAAAGAAATAAATGCGAGAGAAAAATGTCTTACACTTTAAATTTATATTTATATTACAGAGCCTTGTTAAACTCTTAATTTTCAGATAATTTTTCGCACGTATTATGTCGAATTATTTATTATTATTATAAATAGATAATTTCTAAATATTATTCTCACATATTATATGATTATTTATGATTTCTAATATTTATATAAACAATCGTATTGAAATACAATATCAATATTTTCTCGTATATATATAGATTATATTTTAACACGTAATAATTACTTGACTGTAGTCAGATTAATCAAGTGCGTTCAATCTACGTATTAAATCGGACAATTGCAAAATATGATAAATATCATAATATTCGGATTTTCCTGGCAAATCGCGTGAAAAATATAACATTGGCTCGAGAATAGGGCGTGTATTTAGACAATACTAACGGACAAACTAATAACAATAAAACATCAATCAAGCGATCGATCGATCGTTCTTATCCGACCAAATAACATGTGTTGTAACAATATCTTGTTTCTTTGCAAAGAAATCGAAATAGCAATTCTGTTCCATCCACAGCTCCGATTATCGCATTTTCGGCCCGAAAAAGCTCATACCTAGACCCTTCGAACCCTTCTTTCTTTCGCTCGTCTTCGTTTTCATCTCTCACCGAGCATCACCTCGGTATATTACGGCAAGAGATTGAGGTCTACGAATAGTAGCGTCGGAAGAAAGGGGAAGATGGCAGAAAGAGGTAGAGAGAACAGGACGGGGTTGTACCGCCACATCGGTTATTGATAGCGCGAGGCAATTTACAGACGGATTTACGATTACAATAAAACTTTGCTCGCGTGGAAAATTATATTCATAGGATTGGATTTGCGCCAGATATGAAATACCGCGGATCCTACGAGTTCTCGAAGAGATAGGAGGGGAACAGAGGAGTTAGGGGTGGGAGAATAAGGTGGCGGAGTGAAGCGATAAAAAAGCAGCTTCGTGAAGAATGAGAGGAAAATCATGGACCGTCTTTCTCCTTCACGAGAAAGAATCGATTATTGCGCGAGTTCGACTTTGGCTCGCGGGAGTCAATACAGGTATTATTCCGATGTCGGAATACTCGGATATAATACGACAGTTTATGAACACACAGAGATTTACGGTATAATCCGCGTCATTGTTGGAATGTAATACATTGAAATTGAAATACGCGAATTTGTTATAGTTCATTGAATAACGATTATATCATTACTGTAGCATTTGGATTTTATATCGCATAATTAAGAAAAAGCCTTGCATTATTTGTCGAGTATTACAAATATAAAAATGTACTTACGTAATTTGTATCCTTTGTATAACAATTGAACATGTTTGTTGCATTTAGTGATCAATATTTATTTATATGATTAATATTTTTATTTTTCTATTTAATAATTATATTAAATACTATAATACAAATAATATTTTGCGCCAATTTAACTTTTAATACTATACAACGGCCTTTAAATATTATATATCAATATCATTTCAAATAATCACAAAATGATATATATTTAAAAAATAAATTATAAATTTAAAATATGCATATTTTAAATTAAATATTAAAATTAAATATAAGTAAATTTGATAATATTATGTAAATATTGGATATACTATATTTCGATAATATTTAATTTCTGAATATTTTATAATTAATTAAACATTTTTATATAATTAAATAAATTTTGGAATTCCTGGCTTGAACTAGAAATAAATATAATAAAAGATTTACAGTCAATTTTGATATTCATGATTAATTACGCGTGATATTATCTATAAGTAAAGATGCATTAAATAGTAACGATGATATGATAAAATATCGAACTCAATAAACAAACTTGTAACAGGTAATCTCAAACAAAGTTGAGTCAGTTACTTTCTATCAAATCCAGTACACTATTGTTAATAAAAATGAGATTGTGAGATTCAAATAAATAATTAGTCCCGCACAATTAATATTTAAATAATGTATCAGTATAAATTTTGCATGTTCCTCCGATACACATTTTTAGAAATTTCTATATTGATATCTTGTTATGTCAATATTGCTAAAATGCTATCAGAATCAATTTTAATACAACAAAATTAGAAATTATATTTTAGTATTAAATATTGTAATATAATCGACATTTATAAAATAAAAATTGTTATTAGTTTTAAAGAGAAAACATAATTTATATAAAAAAATATTTTGCGATAAAATTGTCCCACGTTGTTTTATTTTATCCCAAATGATAAAATTGTCAATAAACGTGTAAATAAATTGTGAAAGATTGGTGCATTATTGCATGAATTAATACAATTAATTGTTAACACACATTTAATTAAACAATGTAATTAAAATATATGCTATGAGATTGTGAAATACTTTTTGTATTTTTATGTATACTTGTTATATACATATGTTGAAAAAATATCTGATTATAAAATGAAAATATTTGGCTTTCTCTCTGTTGCGTATTAATTCACATAATATTTAACTCTGAAAGATATATATTTATATGAAAGGAGAAATAACAAATACATCGATATTAAATTCCATATTAAAAAAAAATATTTAAAAAGAAAAGAAGACGGATGATAAATAATGTAATTATTCAATTTTTTTCTAATGTGTTCTATATATGTATATTAAATTATTTTTATATTTCTCACATAAATATAATGTATTAATCTTCCCAGTTATTCATGTATTATAAATTTTATAAATATTCTATATCCAATTATAAAAACTTTAAACGAAAGTTATATATTTTAAAAATATCATATTTATTTTTATAATTATATATGTAGTTTTAGTATTTATATTATAATTTTATTAGATTTTTATTTCTCCTTTTCTTATTTTTTACTTTTCTTTTTCTAAAAGAAATAATTTCAAATTTGAATTAATTAACGTAAAATTAATTAATTTATAATAATTATGCGTTTTTGATACTATAACTGTTTTTCATTGTGTTTACTGACAATTTTACACTTGACAATTTATGTAAAAAATATTTGACAAAAAATATAATAAAAATATAACATATGACAATATTTTTACCATATTTAAAGACAGTTTTAATATTGTACGAAATTATTTTTTTATATTATTCTTTTATATTCTATTTATTATTTTTTCCCGAGTATACCCCCTGGTTGCAAAATATTCGTGATTATTTTCTATTAATATTTCCAAATACAAATTTTATATAAATTTTAATGATTTGTATGTTTTTTACAATTAATATATTCTAGTATACATATAATAAAATCTGTCACTAAAATATGTCGGAAAATAACAAAATCGTTGTATCGGCAACAAACTTAATTTTGTAAGTTTTATATATGTATATGTTTGTGCATTGTTATAGTATGCATAATATATATTTGAGTTAAATATTTTCCCTGCTTCAATTTTTTTTAAATTTTTTATGAATTTTTTAGATATTATCTTTATAATATTCTTTTACAGATTAAAATAAAATAAAAATTTAATTCACTTATACAATGCGCAGTAAAAGATTTGTAATACAAATATTAATTTGTAAAATACAAATATATTTATTAAATTATAATATATGTTCAAACTATTTTTTAAAAAAGGATTCTTGTACGTATATATAAACATAATTATATAAAAAAATTTCATGTTGCAACTTTGTCGCTGTGCATAGTATCAATAAGTTAAATTATTCTTATATTTTAATCTGTAAAAAATATTATAAATAAAGAGTTAATAACAAATAAAGAATAACTATTAAAAATATATATATATATTATAACTCACTCTACAGTTGCTCTGCTGTCACCTTTTCCTTATTATTTTAATCTGTAAAAGAATATTAAATAAATAAATATAAAATATATATATATATATATATATTTGTTTTTTGTTTTCTGATGTGTATATAATGTGGTGTGTGTTTGTTGCATGTGTGTTTGTTTGTGTGGGCGTGTGTGTGTGTGTGCGTGCAATATACATGTCATATACAAAAGCATGTAGAATATTAACCAAACTTTCGCGGAGGTAAGCATAAATAAAAAATAAATATTATAAAGATAATATAAATTACCCATTCGACGATTGTTCCGCCGTTTCCTGACCTCCTTTCCCTTCTTCGCAATTAATAATGATTGGGCGCTTTAACTAAACTACTCGTACGATACTCGTAATATTGATTACACACGACGCGCACACTTTAGTATACATTGCGACAGAAAAATAACGCGAAAGAAATACAATCGTGCGAGACTACATCGTTCGTTATTGCAAATGAACAATGAACGACCTCACACGGCGCAAGAGTACGCGGGAAGAATTTGGCGGGAAGCGGGAAAATGCACAGACAACTTCACATCGTCCGCGTGCCGCGCGGATACGAACCTGTCGCATTTGCGCGCGTTTTATCAGTTTATTTATATTGATACTTTGAATGCAATTTTCCATACTTTAATTAATAGATAGACTACGCTCATGTCTCAGAAACGATTAATATAATTTACATTACAACATAAATGAATAACTATTCGAGAATTAAGATGATATGTAATAAGATATTCAAGTAATGATATATATGTATATCCGGAAATATATGATAATTTTGGTTGCACGACAGATTTTGATCTATAAATTTAACTAAATATGTATTTTAACAAATTACTGATATGAATTACCATCAATTTACATTATGCGTAATTGATAAACATCCTTTAATTAACGGCTTAGTAATTAAACACGTTGTAACGTTACATGACTTTGAGTTGAGTTGTACCTGTTTGGTACTCGCGATCTTTCAATAATAAAACGGAAAATATAATACGAGCAATTAATAATCATTTAAATTACTATATATTACTTGATAAATAAAGAATAATAGCGCGCGTTGTCTGTCAGTAGCTCTCGCGGTCGCGTCTCGATTAGTAATGCGAGCGTCTGCGCTCAAGGTTCGCCGCGCGAATGGCAAGGTCATAGATTTATAGGTACATATATGTAAATATGTAAATAAATACGTTGAATATTGCGTTACAATTATTTTGTTGAACCAAGAAATATTTTACGTATTATAGATTAAATATGAAAATTCTTTTTATTTAAATTACTCAATACATGCGCAGTATTACGCGTTATTAATTAAAAAATAATATGCAAATTACACTTAAACCACAAAGTTCAAAGCACAATGAGACTATATTTAAATCCAAAAGTAATTAATAAAATAATTGTCATTTTTTAATATCATAATCCAATGATAATTTATAAAAAATCCTAATTTCTAGCTTTTATTATTCTTTGAAACATATAAATCAAAAATATCTGTTTTAATTAAATTAGTTTCGATTAAATTAATTTCACGAGTTACAAGTTTTAATAAATTATTGAAACCAATATGAAATTTATGCTATTGCGCTTTACACATATATAATTTACACATATAAAATAAATATAAAATCGAATTTAATTACGCATATACTTATTATTATTAATTACATGTAATGATATATAGGTACATATATTAATATCATTTTATATTTTTGTATGTGTGTATGTGAAATAGTATGTATATATAAAAACATATATATATATGTTTTAAAGTACTTACATGAGACTCTCGATTTTCAACAGTTCTGTCTATTACATTACACTCTTTCTGTAGTATTCTTTCATTTTTAAAGACTTCTAATTATTAGCAGCGCTAATTAATTTTTTCATAAATTTATCTTATCTGATTAAGCGTATATTATCTCTGTTCTAGAATATAAAACAATAGAAAAGATAAAGAACAAAATAAAATAAAACACGAATGCACAGAACATTATATAACAATTATTTTATTATACAAAAAAATATTTAACGTATATAAATTATAAAATATTATATAAGATATTACGTACATATGTACGAATATACACATATTATATTAATATTATACTATATTAATATATGTATACATATATGCATTAATATATGTTACAAACCTTTATCTTATTAAAATTATTTAATTCAGTGCACTACCACACATTCTTAATTAAAAAATGGGTGATTACAAAGATGGATGAATTACAATTAACAAGCTTAATGAAGTTAAATTCATGGGTTAAAAAAGAGAAATACGATAATTCGTCTGAGAAAATATATAACTAATATTTAATATTTTACACGTAAATATATTTTGAATGTATATATTACATATATGTACAGTACATGTATTATTAATAAACGATCAATATTATCAATATTATATCTTTCCGTTACTTGAATTATTTTGATTCACGCGGTTGTTGCATATTATTATTGTACATTTTTGATTTAAAAATAATAAGTATATATTACCTTTAAATTATCGGAAAATTCAGAAAACTATAAAACAGATAGAAATAAATTCGAATTTAAGCATTGAAAAAAATAATTATTATCATAAATATTGCTATAAAACAATAATTTTGTATAATTCCTATTTATAAATTATATTTCCTATTACTTAAATTTCTGCTTTAAATATTTAAAAATATCTACTTTAATAAATAATTGCGCGTTTTAATATTCGCTAATTATTTCACGTTAGGGAACACTTTTCCTATCCTAAAAATTATGCTATCTTCAAATAGCTGAAACTTGGCGAAAAATCATCGTAGATTAAAAATTAAAAATGCAATTTGAAGTTTAAAGTTGTAACTTTAATGCGGAATTAGTAAGTTTTAGAAATTTCCAGTTCCATCTTCAAGTTCCAGTGGTTTGAAAATAGTGTAATTTTAGAATGGGAAAAGTGCTCCCTCTTTTTTCTTTTTTTTTTAATGGTGTACTTGATGTTGAAAGATTATACGATATGAACCAATTGATGCAATTTCATCTACTTACTCCTCGCAGAAAATTAAAATTTATTACTTTTTCTATTTTACAATTGGAATTTTACTTTGGAAATTAATAAAATTGTTTGATTTTAATAAATGAAGAATTATAATTACATATATATAATTAAATGAAGATTGAAATAAAGTAAAAAGATGCAGTAAAAAAAATACCACTTTATCTCATATTTAATGAAAATAATAATAAAATTAATTATTATTTAACATATATAAATAAATTATGTGTAACTTGAATACACTTAATTACAATACAACACACGTAACTTAAAAACAACAATTATCATATAAATACTTTTCCATTTAATATTCACGAAGCGATCTTTGCTTACTATGTTACAGACTCGAATCAGCGACAAGATCGTTGAAAATCAGTGCTCCTCAGCGGGTTGTGATCGAGTCCTGGGCAAGCGAGATCTCGGCGTCTTGTTTGACAGATCTGAAGCTGCAGAGCGTTCACGGAGCCATCCGACTCGACGCCAAGTCCGTCTATATGAAAGGTCTGAAGACAGCGATGCCAATGCAAGGACACTCGTCCAGAGAACAGCAACAGCAGCAGCAGCAACAGCAGCAGCAACAGCACTCCGGTAGATCCTCATCCACTCATCAAAGCCAAAGGGAAACAACCATCTATCAGCTGTGTGCCTGCGCAAGTGGCAAGCTCTTCCTCGCCAGGCCGGAGGGCAGTTGTCAAGCCGACAAATCGATTTGCTAATACGAAACGGCTCGGTAGTCCTGAGTATCGCGAAAAGACAGAATAATTTGTTACAAATTGCAATGAACTATGTAACTCGGTGAGAAATCCTAACGACGGGAAATGAAAAAGAAAAACGCATTGCGATCGGCCAATCGGCATGATCGGGGACGAGGCCTTCATTGGAACACTGCAAGCGATATCAAACGAATCTACCACGCGGTTTAAATGGACGAAAATACTGAGTGCGACATATTAAAAATTATAATGAGAGAGAGAGAGTGAGAAAGAGATATATATAAAGACAGAGATAAAGAGAGAGAAAGAATACGCTAAATACGGATAGTCGGAGCTAATTAATTATTCCCAGCATGCGCTATTTTTCGATGAACGCGGCGTATGCCCAATACGCCTTTAAGTGCCGGGCGCTCTTTGGGAATTTCCAGTTTATTTAGGGCCTAATCTGGACGCTGACGTTGCCTCTTAAATATAACACATACATGTCAATTAACTAAAATTGCGTCGTTTTTTTTTTTGCCTTTTTTTTATTTTGCAATTTAACGTCACTCATGTTTAATTACGTTGCCGTATAAGAACACAATCGGGCGTTGTTGTAACTTCAATCTCGCGCACACTTTAAGGCATACGTCAATCTTCTCCAGTCGCGGGCGTTTTATGGCGCCAATCTTCGTTGGTGAAATATATATATATATATATATATATATATATATATATATATCCAACCGATCTGGCGGCGAAGAACGCGAACAAGCGCGTCAGGTGTTTTCTCCGCAATTCGGAAGAGAACATGCCCGTCGCGTTGTGCGGATACAAAGAAAATTCTCGCGAGATCTTGACCGCCAACCCGGAAAAATTCTCTCGAATTCGCGGACATTTGAAAAATTCTCTCTGAAGAATATCTTGAAGCGGCACATTCACCGAGTTCTTCCCTTTAACTTTTTCTCGCGCCAGCGCCGTCGGTCAATGCGACATGCCTTCTAAAGTTCTTGCGTTGCGGAAGATCCGCATATTTCTGCGCGACGCTGCTTGCTTGTTTGGCGTTCTGGATTCGGCTCGAACTTGTATATTTCTCCCGGCAGGGCGTCGCTCGTTCGGAAAGCCCTTGAATCTGTCCATCGAGGATTCGTCTCGGTCGGGAGATCCCCGTGGTACCGTGAATAGATCCTATTAACTATGTGTACGTAGCACTATCGCCGATACTGTTCCGCGATGCGCATCTCGTACCGGACTCTCATCTCACTTTTGGCGGACTGTAAGGTTTGCATTTGAGAAGAGAAAAGAGAATTCAGATTTCTTATACATTAGCAATCTTGAAAGATCGTGAATCTGAATGCAAACCGCGGCACTGTAAATGCAACGTTAACTACGCTAAATGATATTAAACGTAGCGTTCTAAAATGTGCAGCACTAATTAAAGATGGGAATTCGGAACGTCGTGCGTCGAAGCGAAACGCGCGATCGCTGTTAGGCGGCGCCCGGTAAATCGACGACCCCTCGATCTTCCTTTTGTTTCCCTGTCTCTTCGTAGCACCTTCGTCAGCCTTCTTCGTTCGATACTTTATACCCTGTGTACCGAGTATACGTCTCGCGCAGCGAAACCACTTGTAGGCAAATCGTTCGTAGCACCTCTCCCTCCCATAAATGAGTCCTCCGCTCTCGCTCCAGCGTTGGGGTCCTTTCAGGGAGATTATTCCTCGCGAAATCGCTTACTTCTAACGCGATGTCTGTTTAACCCGTGCTCCAATACAAAGTAGAACCGTTGTTGTAAGTAGGGCGACGGCTGCATCGGGCTGCGCGTGTCGCCGGAAAAAGCGAGAGAAAGTTAGAAAGTGAAAGAGAGAAAAAGAATGAGTGAGTGTGAGAATGAGACGGTAGTTTCACGCAACCGGATCGAATCGCGATCCAGCTTGTACGCTGTACATCGGCCATGTCCATTTATTTATGTATGTGGCAATAAAGTCGTTATTGTTACTATTATTATTAATTGTTGTACCTAGTTATTGAACGTTTTTATCTATAATATTACGTATACAAGTTGTTTTTTTTTTCCCATAATTACATTGGACGACGTCATTATTCTATATAAGTCATTATTCATATATTCGTTGAATAAATAAAATTCCGTCGTCCAATGTGTTATTGATGCCATTAACCTTGCCATTCTTCCTTCATTCAACTGGACGAGCCGCCTGTTCCCGAAGGGCGTAATTTTCAACGTGTTACAGGTAGATTTGTTATTTCGCATAACAGAAATGACGAATGTTTTATACATATATACAACATACATATATATGTAGCATCTATATGCAGTATCCATATTCAATACATTCTGCAGTTTCCACCAATTATAACTCATGTAACTAATAATTGCCGTAAGGGCTTTATTGTATCGGACAAAAGCCGAAAGTTTAGCAAGTCCAAATTACAATTAAAAATTTAACATCGACTTTAGCTGCGAAAAATACAAACGGCCTATTCGATCGTGCCTATTTATTGGTGAAAAGCTAGCGAAAGCTGAAATTTTTTCTAATTCGCGACTCTAAAATTCATCTATTCTCTATTAAAACGCGGATGCTCCAGCTCAGCGGCGGCGACGGCACAAAAGGAAAATAGAAATTTAAATTAGAGAATAATCTCAAGACTAGTTCGAACAGCCCGCTGCATAATATAGTATATGTCAAGCGAGCTGACAGGTAACAGAGGCAATCTCATCTAGCACCCCCTTAAACAGCTCTGACGGCAAGGTAATTTTCTTGGAATTCGGGATTAAAATTGCATCCAGCGACGGTGGGGAGGCGGATAAAGCGCATAGCCGAGTAGAGAGGAGAGTTCCGTCGACTGGGGGTTTAAGCGATCTAACGCATCGTATAGGTTGGTGTGAATTAGCAGTGACAGACAGAAAAAAATACTTGTCAGATGATAAAATATCGTGCTGATCTTCTTGCGACGCGTGAAGTGAAAGGAAGAAGCACCAAAGAGAGGAAGATCGGACGCGACGATGTGATTGAGAAAGACGTTTTCGGAAAATTGCAATATATTCAATTACCTTTCTTTTTACCTTATTCAATTATTTCGTATTTTTGAATTAGGACGTAGAAATTATTGTAACAAAATTTAATGAAATAAATAAATTTTGATTATCTTTTTAATCAAATTAATTTATAAATAAATAGAAATTTTAATTTTAATTATCAAATAATATATTTAACAAATGAATATGTAATTTATAACTTTGGAAAAGTATATATAAAAATGTGCCTTCTCTCAAGAGAAGCGAGAGAGGGAAAGATATATAATTATTCAAGGATATTCAGTATATCCAGCGTACCGTCCAGACGAGAGTTCCTGTTCATTCATTATACAGAAGATACCTGAGCAAAGTACTTATCTAAGTGACTGCCACCGCTGTTACTTGTACGTACTCGAGGAGCTTGAACGTGCACGACCATACGATATAAGGGGATGGTAACCGGGAGCGAATGGTGTTGGTAGCAGCGATTCTGACTGTAAAATGGTTTCTGCAAACCGTGAAATTGTTGTGCGGAACACAGATTCGATAAAGCTTTAAATACAAATTAGCCATGCATAATGCAACACGTACACATTACACTTCAGATGCAATAATCTATTCCACTTTGATTAATGTGTAATATTTTTATAAGCGGTATATATTTTTTGCAAAAGGCATTTTTATATATACTTTTCCAAAGTTATAAATTACATATTCATTTGTTAAATATTATTTGATAATTAAAATTAAAATTTCTATTTTATTTATAAATTAATTTTATTAAAAAGAATCAAAATTTATTTATTTTATATCCTTCGCGAAGAAAATTCGACTTACGCCATCACAATAATGGCCAGCGTTGCCATGTGCGCGTGTCAATCGTGTCAGTGAATGTCGTGATAAGATATGCCTTTAGATATCACGTGTATATGGTTTTGAGAAGGTACTCACGCGCGTATGAAGATCGATCGATCGTGATCCGTCAATTTCCGAGTGTCGAGTCTGAGCTTATTACGCATCCGCGTCTCAGTAGTATACATCGGTGTCGAGTCCGACGTGGTAAACTCGCGAGCGCGACTTCGAAGTGAAGGTATATACGTAACGTCGGCAGCCGTAAATCTAATGATTTACGCCGGCAGGAGAAAGACAAACGAACGGATTTACCTCGCGCAAGTACAAACTTATACGATGCGACTGAAGTAAACATTCATGAATCTTCGCGGGAATAACTCGATGCCGTTCGCATCGACAAGTTCAATCTCCGAACGTGCCTTAATCCCTTTGCAAATTGCTCGATCGAGTTACGCTCTTCGCCGATCTATAATTAACTTTGCCCCCTTTTTCCCCTCTGTCTCGCTCTTTATTTATAAATCCGTCTTCATTCAGTTATTACACGCCCATTTTTACATCAACGATCGGAAACGGACGGCTACTAACGAGTACACAGGCAGCTGCGAATAATTTGATTCACGGCGAGAGTTTATTACAGCAGGCAACTCTACGAATGCAACTGTGTTTTGCAACTGCGGCGAATGATGGTAATAGCTCCGGTTGACATATTAATTTCCAGAGAGCTTAGTTTGATGCGATCAAAGGCTTTTTGCCGCTGGCATAGAAGATTTGCGCTGTTAATCCGTTTCGAGGGTTAATCTCTAAAGGGTCGCGTAGATACACATCGCCAGAAAATCAATACATTCTCTCTCTCTTTTTAATTATTATTTATGACCGTTTATTATCATTAATCTATATAGAATGAGTGGATATCTCGCCTTTGCTTTCATTCAGACACCAAAGAAAAGAAGATACATTTATCGTCAAGGAATGCAACTTTTAACAGGGAGTAAAGGATGAATATATTTTGGGATAGATTTATTAAGAAACATATAAAAGAGGGAATAATTTATTTCCATTTGACGATTTTGAGCGATAGAAGAGCCCTCGAGACATAGATATTTCAAACTTTGAATTTACACAAATCTATATTCTTAGCAGCAGAAAATCAGAAGCTTGTGCTTTGAATTCAGTAAACATTTACTTGCGCTTACGGGAAAACATATGTTGTAATTTAATCTGTTACAATGTACGCTAATTTATACTTGTGCATCACCTTTGTCTCTATGCAGTCTTCAACAAAATTATTAATATTATTTATTGCTAATTATTTTGTATTAATCAATTTTTTTCTCATGCATGCTGTGCAATAAACAAGAAACATTAGCGCAACACATCATCATTAAAATATAATATTGTATTAATAATGATCTGCTCATGAGATTTGGCGGTCACATTTTTCTTAGGCTATTAAAATACAATTGTGCACTATCAACAGAAGATTATATTTATCATAACGTCATTATAATAGTATACCACATTACGTAATCAAAAAAATGCAAATAACAGAAGGAAGGAGCTTAACTCTTGCGACTAACGTTCTCGGAACACCTGGATCTTAGACTCTCGTCATCGTGTGTGGAAAAGGCATACGGAAAGTGGCAGGAAAGCATACACGCGGCTAGGGGTAGACGAAGGGATGTCGTAATGGCGGCTAAATTCCTGCAACGGCCGGATGCAATTTAATGCCAGTCGTCGTGGCGCTATCATCGCCTCGCTGATGCAATATCTTTCGAGTTTCCGGCGTCTAGTTAGTGCGGAACGAGCTGTTGATAAATCTCTCCCACCCCCTAGCATAGTCCTCCTCTCTACCTACTTGCCCTCACCCTCATCTAACTCTCCGTCCTCGTCCCCGTTGCGCGGTATGTGAAGGCCATTTCTCCGGAGCGGAATTACATCCCCTAAATTGTAATTTTGTCGGGCACCACTCTCCAGCAGCACTCGCATTATTTCCCCCTACTATGGTTCGTACCTTCCTTTAAAGAGAGAAAGAGAGGGAAAGAAAGGGAGAGAGAGAGAGAGAGGGAGAGAGAGAAAATTCTTCTTCCTATCCCGTTTAGCCTCAAGTAGGGGCTAACTTGCCGACGTCGTCTTGAACGGCGTCATATTCCTCGCGTGGCACGTGTCTGCGAGCAAGCATCGATTTCCGGTTATCGTTCAACGGAGTTTGGAATCCACGAGTCGTTGAAATGTGACCGCCAAGAAAATTAGATGCAAATTCCACCGCGCGCTTTGTGACCTCTAACTCTAAGGAGACAAATTGTGGAGAAAATTTTGACAGCGGTTTTAATCACTCAGTTGCTATATATAGATAATAGAAAATTGACAAAGTTGATAGAAATATCGTGCGAAATAAATTGAATATCGCATGGACAAAAATAAAATTTCGAAATATTTTACTGCACCGCAGAATTTCATTTAAACTAGTAAAATCCTGTCCGTACATTTGTTCGAAAAAAAAAAAAATTACATGAATACAGATGTAACAATATTCGAGATTTTGATGTCCAGATTATGGAAATTCGCGCATAAATGGAAATTTGAAAGAAAGATTGATTGTAATGCGATGACAATTATTTTTCATAAAACGGATGTTTAAAAAGAGGAACGTAGAAGTGAGACGCACGTCGAGATTTCGCGTGAAACTTTAAAAGGATCGCAAGATTAAACTGATCTTTAAACATCGAGCGGAACTTTAACGACGTCGTTATAAAATTAATTATTAAAACCGCTCGATAATCATCGTCGAGTACAGAAAGTAGCCTTTATCCCTTTTCAGCCGAACTGCCTTTAGAGGTTGCAGGACAAATTGCATCGAATTATCTTGAGAGTGTCTCTTTTCCTTCTCCCCATAGCCCTGTGCTATAGCTTTCTATGAGCTATGTAATTAACATTAAACGAGCCGGCGAGATAGGAGCTTTCACTCCTGAATTGCAGTTCTCTTCTGTTTATACGGTCCTTTCAAAAATCGAGAACTTTGCAAAAAGGTAATAGATATAATTAAACACTACGTAATTTTTTAGTGCAACGCAATTTTCAGAAAAGTACAAGAACAAAATTTATACCAAGCTTTGATTAA